GTTACGAGGAGATAAATGTTATATTTTTATAACAAGATGTTTTTTATTTTCTCATTATGATTTTAATTATATCTGGAGGAGCTGGGTGTGGCCCCGAGGACACACCCATCTACACCCCCAATTCATATAGACATAAACTCCTTAGGAAAATGTTTAGTGAGGTTATAAAGTGAGTAGTAGAGAAACTCCCAGTGGAGTCGCCCCCTGCTGGTCATTACACAGAAGACAGGTTTTAAGCTCAACAGTGGCTTCACTTTCAGGACCCGAAATCATCGTGTGTTTTAATTTCTGATTTAGTTTCTAATTTGCTGAAAATACGAACATTTCATCAGCAATAATTGTGATAACTTCAGACCTTTGTTGTGGATTTATTTGCTGATTAAAGTTAATGTTTTGCTCGTGTATATTTTGCATCTCTATAAGTTGAATATTTGTGTGTTTTGATTTGTTGATCGCACAAAACAAGACATTGAAAATTTTAAATTTGTATTGGTTTTATTATTATGTTTTATTGTGATAAATAAATCTTGTGTTTCTTTGAAAAAACGAAAAATAATGAAAAACATTCATGAGATTTTCTGGAAGAGAAGTTCACGACTAATGCGACACATCTGGTTCTGGATGCAACAGCATGAAAGCAACACAACCAAATTTTATACATAATTAACACACACTGATGCATGAGTATGTCTGACATCATTTCACATACACACACACACACACACACACACACACACAATCTAAATGCACCAAATGCATCACAGGCAGACAAAGGAAAAGAGTAGAATCCAGATGGAGGCAGCCTGACACACCCGCAGAGGAACAGCAGCACATGTTCCTCACACATGTGAAATAAAAAGATCAGCAGCAGCTCTCACCTGCTCCTAGTCCACAGGAAGCTGCAGGCGGATGCTCATCTTCTCTGAGGGGAAGAAACAGGCTCTAATCCTGCCACAGAATCAAATCTGCTTCAAGTGTGAAACACGACGCTCAGATGAAACCTTTAAAAGGTGCTGGAGCAGCTCTGCAGCAGATTGAATGTTTGATTTGTGATGATGCAGAGTGGAGGAGTGTCCTGCCGCAGCTCTGGTCCTCTGCAAGAGGTAAGAGGGGAGGGAGGTGTGTGTGTGTGTGTGTGTGTGTGTGTGTGTGTGTGTGTGTGTGTGTGTGTGTGTGTGTGTGTGCGCGCGCGCGACAGTAATTGCAGTACAGTCACTCCAGCCTCACAGTGTGAAGCTAACTGAAGCTAAAAGCAGTTTCTGTCAGAACAATTCAAAATAAAGGTCTAGTGGGAGCGCTGCCGGTTTCTGTCGTCAGAGGATTGCAACATGTTGTGTTACAGTGATGCTCTTATTTTGAAGGAAAATGTGCCCATGTCCTGTGTGGTGTTGGTTGAATATTGGAAACTTACTGAACCTGTTTCTGTCTCATCCTGAGGTTTGTGCTGACAAAGTAAAATCCAACAATGCAGCTTAAAAAGTCATTATCATATTTAAATGACATCTATATGTCAGTGTTGTTATATTAATTACAACAGTGTTTGAAATGCATCATGTAATAACTGTGGTAAACACAAAATAAAAGATTTGATTTAGAGAGATCTGAAGATATAATGTTTAGATAATTGACCTGAGAGTTGGTCAAACTCACCAACTGCACCAGAGACACAGATTCACAAACCAATTATTAATATTATTGTTGTTGTTGTTGTTGTTGATATTTTGCATCGAACAACATGGAACTTGATAGAAGTCATATTTGACCAACACGATGCTGACACATGCACATGACGCCACCAACAGGTGACCACATGACAGAACCACAGAAATGTAAAAACATGAAATATTCTCCCTCTTACTTCCTGTGTGTGTCTTGATGTTTATCTCTATGGTGATTTTTATTTAATGTGATATTTCTTATATCTCTAGTCTTGTATCTTCAATGTTTTCACTTTTTTGTAAATACACTTACAGCTGCTGCACCATCGTGTTTACTATGTTAGTCCAATGCACAACTTTATATAGCTTCACTTATTATCTTTAAATCTGTATTTATATTTTGCTTCAGTACTCTGCCTCAGGTACTTGTCTTACGTGTCCTTCAGTCATTGTAATATTTGTCTTGTATATCTCCATGAGCACCAACGTCTTTACAGTGTCAGTCTTCATCTCACTGAACTTATTCTCTTCTTTTATTATTCCTATGCTCTAGTGTTTATGTCCGTCCGTCTGTCAGTACTGTCGACGTAAGTGATGATCGTATAATAAGGAAACATCTTTTAGTTTGGTTTCATCTGCTAACATGGAGGAGGCGGGGTTTATGACCTTTACTCAGGCCAGCCACTAGGGGGCGATCAAAGGGAGCCGTCATGTCATCCATCTTTATTCACAGTTTGTGTCTGGTTTGTTGTTGTCGCTAGTGTTTCCGGTCGGTTTGTTGTTGTCGCTAGTGTTTCCGGTCGGTTTGTTGTTGTCG